ACAGTGGTCCTCGCTTTTGGCTTCGACGAGGAGGTGTCGGGTTTACAAGGCGCGCGCACGCTCGGCGCCGCGATGCGCGGCATCTACGGCGAGGACCTGCCATTCGCCTTCATCGTCGACGAGGGCGGTACGTTTGCACATATTATTTCCTGGCGGGCGTCTAACGGCCAGCAGGGGGATTCACAGACAAGTACGGCTCGGTATTCGCGTCGCCCTCGGTCGCGGAGAAGGGGAAGTTGGACGTGCGCGTCGAAGTGACATCTCCGGGCGGACACTCATCCGTGCCCCCCGCCCACACCGTACGCCGCCCGCTATCCCTACACGCACCCCGTATCAACGCCATCCCCAGACGATCGGCATGCTCGCAGCATTGCTAGTTAAGATTGAGAACCACCCCTCGGCAGTAGAGCTGGTGCGCTCCTCCTGCTACCTTGCCCTCATTTACCCCGCCCCCGCGCGCCGCTGACTGATCCTCCAGTCACGCGATTCGATCCCGTACGCCCTCGTACAGTGCGAGGCGGAACACGGCGCGGAGATCCCCAAGGCGCTCAAGAACCTCATCCGGCGCTCAGCGCACTCGGCGCGCGCGCTGCGCGAGTTGAAGGATCTACTTGCGCTGGACAACGTGTTCCGCAGCCTTATCAGCACGACGCAGGCGGTCGACATTGTCCAGGGTAAGCAGGGACGCGGCCTGCATTCGATGCGTCCAATGCTCATCGCTGATCACAACGAATTCGAATTTAGGTGGCGTGAAGAGCAACGCACTACCGGAGCAGGCGTACGCGGTTGTGAATCATCGCATTTCGACACAAAGGTGCGTGCTCTCTCCTCTTCTCAATGAATGCGTAAGTGTGTAATTTAACGTGATAACCGACGCACGCGCAGCTCGGTGCGCGAGACGATGGCGCACGACGCGGCGCTGCTCGCGCAGCTCGCGGCAGCATTCAATCTGTCGTACATTGCATTTGGGGAGAAAATGTCGGAAGGGGGAAGAGGGACGCTCACGCTTAGCGACGCGTTCGGGACAGCGCTCGAGCCCGCGCCGGTGTCGCCCATCCGCGGCGCGGGCTCCGCGCCGTATGCGCTGCTGGCGGGCACAATCAAGGCGACGTACGCGGCGCACCGCGGGCTCGGGGCGGCACACGCGGGGAGTGCCATTGCGGTCGCGCCGGGGATGCCTACGGGGAATACTGGTGCGTAGCCGTCATTATTTGTATGATCATCTGGCATTCGATGCGCCGTAACCGCGCGCTTGCATGCAGACACGAGGTACTACTGGAAGCTTTCGCGCAGCATTTTCCGCTACAACCACAAAAACACGATTGGGTCTGCGGATCGGCTGAGTCGGCTGCATACCGTGAACGAGGGTGTGTTGTGGCAGTGGTTCTGGTGTGTGCGTATGTACTAACCTTGTGGATGTCGCAGCGATCAGCGCGGATGCGGTGCTCGAGATGATTCGGTTCTTTGTTACACTTATCCTCAACGCGGATGAGTCGACCGTTATCTAGGCCCTAGGGGCGGAGGCGGGCGGCTATGGTAAAGTTTGGAATGTATGTTCCATGCAAATACTGTACTATGATAGTTGCAATATGGATCGATCAAGATTTCCGAGAACGAGTAGATTGACTCGGGAAGCCACCGACACCGATGCATGGACGACCATTATTTCGTCTCTTTACTCTCTTATATAAAATTCAGCCTGTCCATCTGTCTGAAGCTATTTAAACTCCGACGCTTCTCTTGATGAAAGCGACATGCCGGCCCGACCCGCGGAGTCGGCTTCATCACATCTTTTAAAATGTATTAAAGCCTTTCCTGACAAAAATCTACATCATTTGGATGTGTCTAGATGCCTGTAAACTGTATTCATCCATAAAATGGCCTTTTAAACCAATTTCACTGAATATATAATATTTTTACAAGTTTCTTTCTATCACTAATTCCGTACGAATTAGCTGAGTATTTCTAGATAGGTTTCATGTGAATCGGTGCAGAACTCACTGAGATATTGCGAATTCTTTGAAATCATTCCCAAATAGAAAAAAATTGATCCATGCCTTCGGTACTGCCAATGGCTGTAACCAAAGTGGGTGTCATTGACTCATGGCAGCCCATCCCACTCTTGTTCTTTATAAAATTATCTGTGTCTGTTTAAAGCCTTTTAAACTCCGCTTTGGGAGATCAGTTCCCAACCAGAAGTCTTTGGATTATGAGTGTTACACCGGGGCAGTCAGCCGAAGTGGTGGGCCGTGAAGTACCCACGGTGCTCTTGTACATTGTTCAGCTTTCTCTCGTGTATCTGGACAGCATGGCTCTGCATAATCTTTGGGTTTTTAGGTGCAAACATGTGATGGACATCTAAGCACTGATGTCCTCATTTTTTACTGGTAGTCTCTGCAAATATTTTATAGCCCAACTTGTAGGGACGCATATAATGTGGTTTAAAATTCCACGGTCACTGTAACCATGCCGTAAGGCTGGGGTGGGCCGGAGCCCAAGGTGTCATTGTCTCCTTTGTCCACCTTCTTTTGTACCCTACTAGCAGTGTGCCCGTGCTACGCTACGGGGTGTATTTTGTGTTCCGGTGACAGTGGAAGACGCCGCTCGTCACCAACCTTCGGTTGGCTCCTCATGGCCTCATAGGCAGTTACAATATTTGATTATTCTTTTCTTGTGTACTACCAAAATAATCAGGCCAATCTTGAATTGTATTTGCATAGACAGTTTGCTGTCTGGATTTTCATGTCTACAAAAGAACCTTGGGGAACTTGACAAAAAAACTGTCTATAACTGGCATAATAGCTTACCTCACCTCACCTGCATTCCAATTGTTAGATGCAACAGGGAAAAGAAGGTCATCCGGACTTTCGGCTGGTTTACAATGGAAAGGCATTCCGGTTAAAAGAATTAGAATGCTCACCATCAGCCTATGTGTCATTCTGTCTCAACTCTTTTCTCAGGGCCGAATATCTGCTTGCTTGAACTGGGGTATTGTGCAAACAATTGAGCAAATTCAGCTGGTGGTCAAATGTAGTTACAAGTTCAGCAGGCTAACATTTGACCATTGGGTCTCAGATCATGATATTGCAACAGCGCAACACATCCGACTCTGGGCTATTTTTCAACGACGCCAGAACTCGAAGCCACGAAGTTAGAATCGAACATGGTAGACATATAAAATGACCTATTCCCACCCAGTCAGATCCAGGGACCTGTGTGCTACTGAAAAAAGACTGAATCTAAGAGCATCAGATGATGCCGATGGATGCCGAATAATGTGGATCAATCGGCCTCTCTGCGGAAGTTCGCATCAATGGCATTAGCACGGCATCAGAATGTTTGAATCCGGCCTCTCATTTTCTTCCTCAAAAGGGTAAGGGGACCATTTTATTACGGGAGCTGTATATGTAAACCCCCTTCACGAATCTGCTCTGTCAAATGTTATTAGAGCCGTCCAACTTCCGTTCCTCCCACTTGATGCGCCATTGGTGCCATCTCCTGAGCAGAGGCAGAGTACAACTCACCATCATGACATTACCGAGTAGATAACATTTCAACAATGTGGTGGGGAACTCAACATCACAGTGGAGCGGTGGAGTCTGTTACCTCATTGGAGCCGTTTGTCCCGAGCTGGAGAGCCAATCAGGTTATGTGGTCAGACATAAACCCAGATGCTTTCTTATATAGATGGTATCTCACCGAGGACAATAGACAGCACATGCAGAAGGTAAGCACACGAGCGGTTGCCAAATTTCGGCACTCCGGACATTGTATTCTGAACTCAGTATATCAGAACAAAATTCAGCTCACCCAACACTGAAGCTGTTTCCCTGATGTTCAGTTTCAGCATCAGCCCATTCCTGAAATTTATTGCGATATTCCAAGTTTCATAAAGAACGTCTGGCATCCCGAAATTTGGGAAGCTTATTGATGAGTACTTGTTCTTTGTTCCCACTTTGTCATTCCTTTGTTTTAGCACACATGGACATGTCTGGCAAGTTTTGGGACGCCGGATGTTCTATCTGAAAGTTGGAATATTGGAATAGCACTCGGGCCACAGCCAGTTGTGTAACTGAAACTCGCGGAATCAGATCCAGCTTCTGTCTGCCTGAATTAAATCTGATACCTCAGCTTTCGAATAGAACATCCGGTGTGCCAAAAATTGGCAATCACCGGTGTGAAGTGTGTTAAATGCACTTGGTCCACACCCAGTAGTAGCAAAGCTGCCAAAGGCATTTTGATCAAACAAAGAGGGGCTTTTTCAGGCTAACAAAGCCTCCCTTTGTCTTCCCAAAGGTGTGTTACAAGGTGCAGACCAAATGTATTCAATGCACTGTAGTATTATGTTCAATTCAACACTGCCACCGGTTTTTTGATACTTTAAAAATAAAATAAAATCTGATAAATTGAGAAAAATTATTGCCGGCCTCAGAAAACATGAGCACGATACGTGACTGATGAGTTGAACATAATACTACAGTACTTGAATTTTTTATGGATCACCTCATGCCCCTAGTGTCTGTGCGAACCAGATGCATCGAAAATATATGCTTCATCTGTGTTGATCTTTGCCCCAGTGCATACATGGCTTCTTATGGTCACGGTTACTGTACAGTACAGCAAGACCATAAAATTTGAAAGACAGTGGATCTTTATTATTGGAACCTGCACAGGAATAATACAAGCATGACATTGTAGCATCTGTTCATAAAAGACAAAGCAATACCTTCCCTGAGGGCAAGTCCATTATGTTCAACCTTACATTGTTGATGGGTTAAATAAACTTCCCCACCTCCAATGTTCAGCTCTCACACATGCCCTAAATGAATTGGAAGAAATTCACTTGATGTACATACAATAACCCATGCAAGCTCCAGAATTTTACAAAGTCTAAATTTTGGCTCGACTTAGCGATATTTTGTTATTTTTCAACCACATGTTCAATTTTTGGATTTGTGTGCATCCTGTATGATATTGTCTTGATTTTGATTCTCTATAACTCCGAATTGGTGTAGGGGTCAACATTGCCGCCTCTCATGATTACGTAATCAGCTATTTGATTGTGTGATCTGAATCGCGGCAGCCCGGGGTTCGATTCCCCGATTCGGAACTAAAGGGGATCTGCCTTGTTTTTGGTCGGTTAGCGTAGCCGCCTTTTAGGTTGGCTCTTCTTGTTTTTTTTTTGTCTCACTTCAGCTAGTAACAGGAGCTCAGGTCCAAGATGCCGCTTTACCACTTGTATTTGAGTTCCCTGAATCTCTACGGTCACACTCATTCGGCCCATTTTTCACAATAGCTTGCAGGCCTTATGTTAAATTCTTCCTGCTCTTAGTCTCCGGGCTTTAATTATTCCATGCTGACTAGCGAGCACAATGTGACTTCCGTATACCGAATTGATCATGACCCCTGCACCAATACGGATTCCAGTAACTCGAAACGGCGGGGTTTACAATGGATTTGGACATCGTCTTGGTTGGCATGAGATTAGGCAAAGCTTTCTCTTGTATTCCCTTGGTTGTTGGAATATTCGTATTCGCCAGAGAGCGAGTCTGAACTTTAGGTTGACTTTGTGCTGGTTTATTTGACGATCACGTTGATGGCAAATATTAATTGATCAAGTTTCGACCACTGACATCCTTCATCACGCTGGCAGCTATTCCACGATTTCTTTTTAAAGGAATGCCTCGGATCTTTCTTCGCCAGCAGCAAATTCCCTGCGCCAGTTGCACAAGGAGCCAGAACCACTCGGGCCTGAGGAACACCGGAAAGACGTTGACAGAGAAGAGCCACTGACGCAGTAAATTTACAACGCTAACTTGGTTCCGAGTAGAATACTGTCCTGGGCTCGTCGGCCTGTCAAACCGGGGTGAAAATGTCGGCGAAGAACACTCGTCTTCGTGTTTCCCCTGAATTTATTCCCGATCAGCAACATCGCGTCTGCAAGCAGCAGTTTAGAATCCTCATCGGTCGTAATCCCGTCCGCGGAGTAACGTGGTGTCTCGCATGTATGGCCGAATCTCCCGACCTATCTGAACGCCCATAAAACCCCGTCGGTTTCGCTCATCGACCCACCATTTCCCTGGTAGCACCTCAGGTCTGCACGCGATGAACGCTTTCTTACTGCCCAGCCTCTTTCTCGCTCTGTTGCTTTCAGTCGTGCTCGCGTCACCCGTCGCTATTTCCTCGTCGTCTCAGGTTATCTTGACCTCTGGGCCTATATCTTCTCTTGCTATTTCTTCGTCTCTCTACGACGACTTCGTTCGGTACACCAAGTATTCATCCGCCGCATACCAGTGGCGCTGCCCAAGCCCACTTGGAAACAAACTCGTTCATTTTGTGAGCCATTCCTCTATTCGCGCGATCTAACATCTTAGCCCTGTAGTTCTCTGGCAGTACCCACGGCTTTATCGCGCGAGATGAAGAACGCGAGGAAATTGTGGTATCCTTCCGCGGGACCTTGAACGCGAAAGACGTCATCACAGGTATCTATCTACCGATTTAAATTGTCCAGCCGCCTTAGCCTCTATTTTTCAGACATCAGATTCTTTAAAGTTCTGTTCGACTCGCCAATTATCACCGAGCCGGTCTACGTCCACAAGGGTTTTTTGATTGCATACAAAGATGTCTTCGACGAGGTTCTCGCCACCGTCAAGACGCAGCTTGAGCAATTCCCAACGTACAGCATTGTCGTCACAGGTAGGAGGGACATTCGATCCTCACTGCGTTCAGACCCCCCCGTAGGCATAGGTCCGCCTACGTTCGCCGATCTCTGCCGAGGCATGTCTACCCCAGCCGACCTCTGCCGACCTTGGCCTATCACCTCGGCCTATGCGAGGTCGGTCCACGCTCGCCGATCCCGGCCTACGGTGGTGTGCCTATTGTGGCCGACCTTGGTCTAGCTATGTCCAGCTTGTTGGCGGTCGAAGTTACGTCCCAAATTCGCCCCAGTTGTAGTGTGGTTACTGAGATCTACGACTGAGAACGCGGGCAGTCGTCGGGCAACCGTTGGGATGATGGGCGGGGTTAGCTAGTATTACGGCGTGCGCGTGACTTCTGACAGTTATTTGAAACCATTGATAAACCCTGATAAGCCAGTAAAGATGTTAAAGACTGACGAAGAGTCAAAACTCATGTTTGAGATTGAAAAAGGTACGGTTTCTTGAGATTGCATTACTAGGCACATCAGTCGAGGCAGTGGTCCTACCTGTGCCTATCCATGTAGGAGCACGTAGACCACCCTGGGCAAAGATCGACAGATGCATAGGCAGACATAGGCGCACTGGTCGGCCTACACATCTGCCTATGGGGATCCGGCAGACCTGTGCCTACGGGGGGGTCTGAACGCAGTGCCTGATCTTTCTTTACTGAAGAAAAGCAGGCCACAGTTTGGGCGGCGCCATCGCATCCCTCGTCGCTGCTCCGTTGAAATCCGCACTCCCCAATGTCACGCTTAAACTCTACACGTTTGGTTCATCATTTCTTTCCGCAATCTCGACTCCCTTTTCTAGACGATTGAGTCCAGGGCAGCCCCGCGCGGGAAACACGGAGTTTGCAAGATACGTGGAAAAGACTCTCGGACTGCACAATATTTTCCGAGGTGAGCTTCAAGTGTGCCTGTGCCGCCATATAATTAATGTATCTGCGCCACGACAGCGGTGCATACACGCGGCATGTTCTTCCACGACGAGGATTCTGCTGCTCTGAGCCTAACCATGCGCCATCCTAGATCCTGTACCGATGGTTCCGAAGATCGCATACGAACACTTGTACGTTCTCTTGATTATCCATGCACATATTCTCATGAGCAAATAGTGGACCGGAATATTGGCAATTCAAAGACCCGGGCTTCATGGGGACACCGCAAAAAACGGTGAGGAAATGCGAAGGGGGTGAAGAGCTCACTTGTAGCAGATCAAGAGGTAACCTCGCGGTGGATTACTGTCGCTTTCGCCTTCTGATTTTCGTTTTTTTCAGGGTCAGTAGCACTTCCCCCGTATCATCCATACTATTTCGGACAAGGTGGGCACCCATTTAATTACGCATGTATAGCGTCCTGACCGCTCCACAGCAATGGCCACGAATCCCTTCCTTTGCTGTGCTGATACTGTGTTTAACTGCGTCTCCAAGTTGTTCTGACTCTTGTCATATTATCCTGTTGAACCTGGACAGATTTATCGCATAAATACTCATCTCTTAACGTGCTAATTGAAATTTTTGAGCTTTACATATCTTCGTGACTGAGTTTTGAGAGCTATTCCGAGCAGGAGCTGCCTGGCGTTAGTGGATCGCTTTTCAAGTCATCGGCATGCGGATCGGTTTGGTCCTGCCAGTTTAAATCTCGATGTAATGCCACAAATGATACTGCGATTATGGGATATAGAAATGGTTCTAAAGATTCACAGCGGCAGGAGCGAAATTATGGTTATAAAAATCAGATTGTGTTCAAATTGAAATTGGCAACCTAGGTCTCACTTTCGGCGACTTCGCCTAGGCCCAATTGATATTTTGTCTCGGATATTGGGCAGCCTTATACAAACCATGTTAATAGGCTCTACATTCTATTTATCAAACTCCGAAGCCTTTGATTGCTGAACCTTTAGGTTTGGCTACCCTGGAGAACATGGATTTCGCCCTTTTTTTAGTCATACATCAACAGTCATCACACAACTTTCACATGTCAATAAATATACTTGATTGAGTGTTAGTTGCATTTGCCCTTTTGTCCCACAACACAACAAGTTCTGTCTTTGCCCACCACAGTCCAAAATTCTTGTTCATTCTGTGGTCCTGAGTAGGTCTTGACCCAGTCTTTTGTTTCCACCATACGCGGTCCCGCGGTCTCGGAGTATTTCTGTCCCGACATCAACATCAATCTCGGTAATTGCGGTAACCCGGGGATCGGTCGCCACATCAATTTGCCATGTTTACGAGTCCTCCTTTTCCCTCCTTTGCTTTTGTCCTCCATGTCGTCCCTGCCCCTCACTACCTTCTGCGGTTTGGATTCGATCCGGACAACAAAGCCTGACAGTACAAGTTCTTTTGTGCCATATACAAAGTGGCGTACTAATCAGTTGTCAGAGCCACCAGTAGCTGAGCAATACCTGTTTGTCGGCGCCGTGTCATATACTGATCGTCAAACTTCAAGTTGGCTCAGAAAGTATTCCAGTTGTCAGGCCTCGAGGCAATGTAGTAGTTAGGGAAACACAGGGACAGTTGACTTTATGATAGGATGACTTTGAACGAGTACATTGAATGTATAGTCGCAGTTTTCGTATTAGCAGCAAAGTAGCACAGGCCAAGTTTCGAGATCACACACAAATATGATGGCATCAATCACATATAACATTGTATTTTGTAACTTATGGGGGCTTCTAATTGGGACCATCGGATATGGCGAGTTCAATCTAAACTGCTCCTTGAATGCTCTCAATAATTTTTATGCGAGCTCTGACAGACAAGTTGATACACTGTGAGAAAGTATCCATCAGGCCGAGATGGCATCGGTCTGTCGGATCAGTTCCACAGTCGTTGCCGTCTAAGCTGGGCCGAAAGGTTCAGCACCCGCCTCGAAGAGGCCCAATCCCAAGTCATAAGAAATGGAACGTAAAACAGAACATAGACATAAGACATCAATCCATCAATCACATCAAACCCTTTCCTTTCCCCACATCCTTTGGATTTTTTCGGACAGCTGGTCGGCATAGTATCTAACGCGCCAACGAGGCAATAACCTGCTATTTATTTATTGGACCAAGATAAAGGTCCTGGCAACTGAATCCACATGCCAGTGGTAGACGATGAGGCATGATTCGGTGGTAATCGTTCTCCCGGGTCCTTATTTTGTCTTCCCAACTTGAACAATCCCATGGGCTATCTGGCCAACGTTCCTAGTTTTTTCTTGGCTTTTTTTCACGCGATACTGACCTATCCTTGAGGCATACTACCGAGTACACATCTAAGACGACAGCCAGTTGGCACTCTTATACATATGAAGTGCTTTCCTCTCCCCAAATGCTCGTCACCTTCGGTGTCGTTGATTTGACCTTCTCATCTCCTAATCCGCTCCCAAATTGCTCTTCCGGCGGCTTATCATTGTGTCACCCGCTGCCA